TGTACAGTAGCCAATCAAATTTACAAAGCCGCATGCAGATTATTCTAGAATGCGATTTCCTTATTTGGTAAATCATCAGACTGTAATCTATATGATTGACATACAGATAAATGATTGTAATACACACCTTGATTAGTGCTACTTATGTACGTATATACATATTTTTACAAACTTAGTATATATGAGAAGCATACTGAAAATTTCGCTTTACTGTAGTTTAATTTCTCATGCATTTACATTTTTTTTAATGCAGCTTTAAATTATGACAGCGTTAAATTTAATTATCCTCCGCTTTTCTATTTGGTCAGTTCACAACAAGAAGTTGTTAATATCAATCGGGATCGAAATGAACCTTGTAAAGGCCAGGAGGTTCAGTAGTGTGGCCTATCTATTATATTAAACGTTAATAAAATTCTGCATTGCTACTATATGAAAATATGACTTATAAAGTTAAAGGTTTTTAAACTTTAAAAAAAAAATATTAAATACTGAAAGAAAAATTAGTAGCGCAGTGCTAATTAGAACAGGCAGATTATCAAAATTTTACATATATAAAATTTTCTTTATATATGCCATTGCACTATTTTTGTAATTATACAATGATTGACACTTTAACAACTTATACACACATTTATTTACACTATACTATGAACAAAACAATAGGAATTTCGGACGAACTGGGGTAATGTGAACTGTTAGTTTTCTACCCTAATTTTGATTCTAAAATTAAAGTAATTTTACAGCAAAAAGAATACGTAGTATGAGTTCAAACGTTTGCATAATGGGCTTAACACGTACATACATACAGATGCACTAATATTTGATAAAAGCACATTTAAATAACTCTATAGTACCTTGCTGTGCTAGGCTTAATTTCTTTACCTAAATTAATAAAATCTGATGTAAGTTTATTTTAACAAAGAAATCTAGAATCATATTGTTTCATTTATAGTAACTTCAAAAACTTAAAATTCTTTTATTTTAAATTCTTGATTTTTTTTGTAGATAATAAGGTTTTTTTTCAGTTGGCATTTATTGGCATAAAGAAATTCTGTACCATATTTTAGCTTTCGTGATCGACAAAAATAAGAAAAAAATTTTTCTATCTCAAAATTTTGCTCCTTTAACTGCTTTTCGTATCTTAGCAAACAAATCTCACTTTAAATTCCTACTTACCTCTAACATCAAAATTCGTTTAATGCTTTATTAATTTAGGAAATGATTGACAAACCCTACACAGTTTTTTTCATGCAAATTATTGTTTATATTATACTCGATCCTGAAATGTGCGTCAAATTCGGTTTTCTCAAATATATAAATGGATTTCTGTATACGTGCTTTTCTTTTCTACCTCCAATTTACAATACATAGTTTTTTCGCGTTATTTAAAATGTCTGAAATAAAATCTAATGATATGTCCTTCGAGTTTAATGAAACAGAAACAAATATTAATATGTCATTTGAAGTCGAATTGACTACAGTAGAACTAACTGATCATATATCATTTGTGATAACTGAAAATTCACCAACTGATTCAGTGTACTCAACTTCTGAAACACCAGTAGAACTTTGCAACCCCTTAGATAGAAAGTGCTGTGCTAAAAATATGTTACAAGAAGTCGATTTGAATGCAGTAGCAATAAGCGATAATATGTTGTTTGAGATAAATGAAAAGGCTTCAACTGATTCATCATGCTCAACTTTCGAAACACCAGTAGTACGTCGCAACCGCTTAGCTAGAAAACGCTATGCTAAAAAGATGATACAAGATACTAATCTTCTTGCTGTTGGTAATTCAGAAAGTGCATATGAACATAAAAGAAGGCTCCAAAGAGAAGCATATGCTCAACGTAAAGCTACACTTACTAATCATCAAATTGTACAATGACGTACACAAAATCGAGAAACTTATTCATATCGAATGGCAACTAAAACTGCAGAGCAGGCTGAAGAATGAAGAGCAAAGAGACGAAAAATCAATTGTTATACTTCTAAGAATGCCTATATGGAACTTTATGACAGTAGAATTGTAGCACTGTATGACCTTGGTAAAATGAATATTGAATGTATATATTTTTTTTTGAATATTAATGGTGAGACCATGTCTCTGTCTTTATTAAAATTTAATTTAACTCTCATACAAA